TAATCCTTCATTTCATAACCTTTAATAACGGACCCTAAGTTCTAAAAGGCCCCATGTAAACCCTTATAGTGCCCGGAGGATCTTGAAATCAGGGGACCGCCTTGAGATACAGCCCTGGGGCTCTTAAGTGGAGGGTCTGGGGTTTGGAGTCATGAGCGTGATGGGTCCATGCCAAACAGGTGCTCGCAACACCCCGAGTAGCGCGAGTGACATACGTATGCCTGAAGACCAAGGAGGAAGCCCGCCAACGCTGACAATGACGTTACCCGAAGCCCTACACCCTAAAGGTTTCCACCACGTGTTCCCTGACCACTCTTGCTGTATCCCTGGCCTAGTAGGCCCTGTAAGGAGCCCCGGAGCAGAAATTAGCGCCAAAAGGCATTTGCAATTGAACCCAGGAAACTTCACACCCTGGGTTTAGGGTTTAGGATTCGGGGCTCTGAGCCCTAAACCCTATAGAACCTAGAACAAACATGATGCCGAAGCAAAGCTCAACATGGAAACTGGAACTACACTTCTTGACAAGGGGGCGGGTACATGGAGTCCACATGTTTGTTGGTATCGGGCTTATAGCCAACCACCCAAAATGTGCGTCCACAAAAACTAGAGCAACAGGGTTGACCCAAGCCTCGGTTACGTAGATCCAAAGCTATGCACGATCATGCTACCTAGACATCTATACTCTGCTCCACCTTCTTGGCAGCGCCTGATTTTTTGCATAGAAGCAAGCAGAAATAAATCGTAAAGTGTAGTATCCTAAAATGGGGGGTGTAAAGTGTAGGGGTCCAGGTATCATGCCGGAGCCTGAAAATGCAAAAGCGTAAGGTTTAGGGTCTAATTACGGTTTAGGTTTAGGGTTTAGGATTTTTGAGGAGCTCGCACTTGATACGGCCAAGAAGCATTCGCCTACATACACATGTGTTTCCAACGTTCCCGAAGGGCTCCAAATGATCCCTTTGATGGTCCTTGAGTTTGAACAGCTCCTAAAATGCCACTCGCATCTTGCCTCTATGTCTCGTATGTTCCCTTTAAATTTTGTGCAGTGTACAGAAACAGGGTGACACAACATAGACCCCAAAAATATCATAGTCCTTATTATGGGAGCAGGCGCCCAACATTTGGCCAATATTTCAGATCCCCTAGAACCCTAAAGCCTCAACCCTGAACCCTAACCCTAAATCCAAAAACCTGAATCCCTCAAACCCTAAACCCTCAACCCCAAAGCCCTAAACCAGGAATCCTCCCCCCTAAGCCCACATCTTTTTGACAGGGGAACCACAAGCCTATCCGAGAAGCGGGGCGGAGTACCAGCCTCAGCTGAGAAGTATTTTGTTTGGGGATACTATGGTACCCAATATAGAGTAGGATTATATCCTCTTTTTGGGGTATAGTAATTTGTATAAGGAACATAATCTTACTGATTTAAATCATCAAAAAAGCATTACTCAGCTAAGGAGTTCCTAGAGTTGGCCCTGGGCCATGCGGAGCCCACAAGGTTTAGAGTTAAGAAAGTCCCCCTGAAGTAGAAAGAAAAGGGATATGGGGTTTAAGATTGAAAGTTTGGGGTGTTAAAGTCCCCTTAAGAAGATAGAGAATGATTTTGAAGTGTGGGGTTTAGGGGTTCAGGGGTTTAGGGTTTAGGATTTAGGGTATAGACCCTTCAAGTCGATGGCATATAGAATTCTCCAAAACCACAATAAGATCCCCTGAGCCCTATATTCTATCTACTCATTGGGGACTATAGGGTTTAGGGTGTTCAGGGTTTGGGGTTGATGGTAAAGAGCCCTAAAAAGATGGGTTCCATGGAGTTGAGGCAGGGCTCAAGGTCCATTTTGGTGGCTTTTTTAGGAAGGCGCATGTGGTGGTGAGCCCAAAACCCTAAACCCCTAAACCCTAAAAACCGCTTTAAGGTTCAGCAGGGTTGAGGCTTTAGGCTTGGTTCCGTTGCGGGTATCGGCCCCAGTCTAGGTTCAAAAGGATTCTTGCGCAGCAGTTCTAGATGGATGTTTAAGGCTGTTTGGGGTTCAGGGCCAATTTGAGGAAACGGAACCCTAAACCCTAGACCCCTAAACCCTAAACCCTAGAGCAGTTCTGAACTGCAAGGGTCCTCATGGGGAGTCCTCAGAGTCTCAGAGTCTCAGAGGGAGTGCACAGTAAACCCTGCACCCTAAACGCTAGGTTAGGGTTTCTAATGTCCCCCTTGAGGGGTTATAGGGGTCATCTTGCGATAATGGAAAAGAAAATGGAAACTACTATTTAGGGTCGAGGGTTTTGGGTTTTCTACCCACCCCCAGACGACCTGGAAGCTCATATTAGTTTAGGGGAGAATAGAGAACTGCGAGGACAAGCTCACGCCAGCTGACTGCCCACTCTGCCACCTGGGATCGAAGGCGATCTCAAGCTTCAAAGGGTCGGAGTTTAGGGCATGGATCTCTACTCTAAACCCTAAACCCTACTATTTGCTTAAGAACACCGAAAAATAGAAAATGAGGATCTCTATGTTACCCTTATAAGGAAGACTATTCTTCATTTTTTGGTTGGTTCTTAAGCAAACAGTACAACCTTAAACTATACAGAAAATTGTATTCTTCTCCAAGTACTGAGGGGTCTACAAAGGAAGCCCCGCGGAGCCGGGATAAAATGCTAGGCTCCCAGGCGCCTGGTTATTATGGGATTGGGAACCGCATATCCATATGGGATATATGGGGTTTAGGGTTTAGGGATTGGGAACTACATATCCATATGGGATATATAGGGTTTAGGGGTTTAGTGTTTCAGGTTTAGGGGTTTAGGGTTTCGGGTCTAGAGGTTTAGGGTATTCATATGGGGCTTTCTCAAGATTAGGGGTACCTTTTTGGGGGTCCCGGTAATACGGATTGTAGGATTTGGGGGTATATGTTGGGGTTCCCTTGTTTTGGGAAACTAACATATCTACGTTAAGGGTCTAGCGGGCTTAGTGGCAGGCTACTAATGGAGATAACGGGGGCTATTTTTTGGCGCAGGCGGGTTACCAGCATAGTCACGGAGCCCTTTTGATTCTCCCAGTATTCGCAGTACATCTTCAGGATACAGCGTCAAGAAAGCCTAGGCGAGCGAAAAAGCAGTCAACATCCTAGCCTGAAGCTAATGCAGGCAAGCATGAGTTTGAGTGGTGGGTCCACGGTCCGTGTTGTAGGGCTTGAATCAGCGAAGTCAGAGTGTGGACTTGTGCTTTCTCACCACAACCCAGACGCCCTAAAGGCTTCCAACAAATAATGAGAGGGAGGACTTGGGAGCATGAAGGGCCAGAGCGCACCTTGTCGCTTTTTTTGGAATATGCAGCCCCCCAAGCCCTAAAGCTTAAATCCTAAACCCAATACAAAGCAAAAGGGGAACCTTGGAAAGCCCTAGGTTCCTACATACAAACTTTCAAACAGAAGCATAAGTCCAGATTAGCTTCTGGCAGGACTTGGTGACTCTCTTTCATGGGGACCTGGGCTTTCTTGGAGAGTCTAGGTGCCCTGAAGATTAAACCTTTGAACCCTAAACCACACAGCCCCAAGACCTACACCAGCCCTAAACCCTAAGCTCTAAGCCCGAAACATCCAAGAGCCCTAAAAACCGAACAGAACACAGATCTTCAAACCCTCAAGCCTCAAGGCCTTAATTGTTGGGTACTGTTTCCCAGCCTATAACATCACCAGATATTGATATCCTGGTAATGTGCTAGACCTAAGAAGGGTCCTACGAAAAAGACTATTACAGGACGGAGGCAGTATCAAAATTACACCTTGCATCTCAACAGAAGCCGGCAACGTTCTATGCAGTGGAGCGGCGCGACGGTTTCGGCCACTTGACTGGGAGATGCATGGGGTTTAAGGGTGGGTTCATCGGAGGGTTCAGTAGCAGGGTTTTAGGGTTTAGGACGCTTGTTTTTATGGAGAGGGCTTGTCAGCAATGAGTAGAGAGTCAAGGGCCTATACGCATCACGCATGCCTTTCAGTCGCCTGTATCTGAGAATCATCTATGTAACTTGATTTGCTCAGGTAATGATATGTGTGATCAAGCTTGCGGGTATGTGAGGAGTACATGAGAGCCCCAAACTGGCCAGGAAGCGGGTGAAGACTGCAAAGTTTCAGTGGGGTTCAGAATCAAATCCCAAACTCTTCCCCCGCGGAAAATTCGGCCTCCTTCATTAGGCTACATCACTACTTCCCCCGTAATATTAGTCACCAGCCCGGCCCCCAATTTCAGATGCGTCTTCAAACCTTTCTTTTGCATGTTACAACATTATTTCACATTTGGGGGTTCGTGTCTTAAGCTCGCGAGAGATCATTGATCAGGCCCATTCAGGCCTTAACATGATGTTGTATATTCCTGTTTTTGCTTCAGCTGGCTGATATGAGAGGGGGTTATGCTGCTATCAGAATCTATACGCCTTCGTACGCCTAAGCCCTTCTTAGCACAAACATGGAACACCATACAGTTGCGATTTGAAGAAGGATAGAAGTCTTTGCAGAGCAGGGTTTCGGCTTTGGGGCTTATTAGTCCTAGACCTTAAAGCCTATTCTCCGAACCCGGCACATCCCTGTGTAACTCCAACATAACTCCTTTTGGGGAGGTTTTAGATTTAGTTCACACGCCGAAACTGAACATGTACTCCTTGCACTAGCAGTTTGGCCTCTTGAAGGGTTTGTTTTGGATACTGCCCCCACTCATAACAGTTGAACATGACCCCTGGTATAGACTGTCACTGGGCGGAGCAGTACTCAAGGTGTACTTAATACTACAGGTAAGAGATATTAACCTGACAACTGAAACCCTACCTGTAACCCCCAGCTGCCTAGAGGTTAGCAGTAAATTGCCAGTTAGCTTAAAAAGTACAACCGAGAAAACTGTAGATAAGTGATGTTACAGGTAACCCTAAACCCCAAGTCCTCAAATCCTAAACCCTAAAGCACAAATCGTCAAACCCTAAGCTTTTTAGTATCAGGGGCAAGGGATCTTTGGTGCTGCGTCAGGCGAGCGAGCGGCAAATTTGATCAATATGCTACTTGGCTAACTTTATAGATTTAAGATTTAGGGTTTAGGGTATACCGGAGTAGTTTCCATGTCATTTTCCCGGTTTAGGGTTTACTAGAGTGGTTTCCATGTTACTTTCCAGGTTTAGGGTTTAGGGTATACTAGAGTAGTTTCCATTTGATTTTCCATTATCGCAATATAACCCCTATATACCCCTGATATATAACCCTTAGCGAACTGCTTAGGGAGATTCCCAGATGGGGGGGTTCTGGTCGGGGTCTTGAAAATTCTTGAAGGGGGTTATGTGGACAATATCGAAATTTTTTCCATTTTTTCAGTACGTGAGGATTTAAGGCCGTTTCGGGGGCTGATCGAAACGGGGGGAGCCTGATAGTCTGATAGAAAGCCCTTTAAGGGAATGATAGGGGTAAATTTATGTTATATACTCAGATCCATGCATACGTACATACATACATACATACATACATACATGCAGGTATATAAGGGATGCAGACAGGATTCAGGTTAATATGAAGTTTGTTCCACCCTCGAGCCTAGGTTTCGGATTGGGGTTTAGGGTTTCGGATTTCGGGTTTAGGTTGCGGGCGTAGATAACGGGCGTAGGGGCATCAGGGGCCAGGGAGATATGGCAGTCATGCAAGGATCGTGGCGGTCCTCTTCAGGATTTATACCGGAAAATACGGGAGACTCCCATTTGTATTTGGGATGGGTAGGGTCCTCTGCGGCTGAATACATAGCGGATGTGAGGTTTATATGTCTTTGCGACAAATAGAACCTACTTGGTGTTTGAGCGCATGGTACATGTAGACCCATGACTAATAGCCCCCCTCCTTTTAAGGGCCTTAATATTGGGATCCCTTTTATAATCCCTATTAAGGGGAGGGGGGTTGATTAATCAGGGGTCTGGGTTATGGAAGCTTAATGTGTGTGATTGATGTTTCTTTTGGAGAACACGACTGAGCAATACTGGGATGATTTTGCTGATTCTGCTTGACCCCTACGGTGCTCAAGCCGCTGAGTACCCGCAAAAGGGCTCTACTGGTAGTATAGTCTAAACTTAAACTCCACAAAGGCGGGAGCACTGTAGGAGATATCAAGGGGATACTAGGAGTTTAGATTCAATGGCTCACAGGGAGAGCCGTGCCCCGCGCTCGGAATTCAGGGGCCGGAGCAGGGTAGGAGCTACATCTACCTGCAGCCCTAAGAAGCGCTCCCTGGGTCCTTTCGCGATTCATGAAGCAACCCAGACAACCCTAAATCCAAAGCTTACTGGGTTGCTGTTGAGGAACTTAGTCTAAGTTTCTATATTGGGGAAGCCATACTATTCACCGTATATATATATATATCACATACCCATTATGGTAACTTGAAATTTGAGTTCTAAACCCTAAGCCACCCCAGCTTTAAAAAAGTCGCAAGAGAAAGGATGGCTTTGGCCGCAAAAGTGGGGATGAACTTCGGTGGTCTCCTACAGCAGGCGTTGCCGCTGGAGTTATGGGTTTAGGGTTTAGGGTTTTGGTTTAGGGTTTTGGGTTTTGAGTTTAGGGTTTAGGGTTTAGGGAGTTATAATCGTAGGGTTTAGGGCGTTATCATTGGGTAAAATACTGCATATGAGAGCTTCTCAAAATTTAGTAAGGATTATAGTACTCAGGGGGCTATATTGGGGTCCCCGTATTTGGGGAAACTACCGCATATATATATATATATATATACAAGATTGGCTAACATGTGTGGTATTGGCGTTCTGTAGTAGCTCACCATGATATTTGTTTGTGATTTGGGCTCCGTCCTAGGCTTTTCTGGCTGCAGACCATATTGAGACTTCCTAGCTAGCGTCGTTCGAAGAGCGACAGTAAGGTCAAATTAGCAGTAAAGGAATCTAGATAAACAAGTCGTAGTGTTAAATGCTGCAAAAGCCAGGGCTCCACAAGAGACCAAGGTGACCAAGGTGGTAAGTTCCTCATGTGTTTATGGTTTGACCTTTTTTGGTTTCGGCTGTGAAGAAGCATATGATGGTTGCATTTGCTATAGCTGAATTCCGAGCCGAACTCCTCCCAAAATACTTAACCCGTTTTCGTTTTCACAAGCCCGAAAGCACGATGCATTTCTTCGGGGTTTCAGTTTAGGCTTCGATGTGGAGGGGTTAAGGGTTTAGGATTAAGGTTGAGGGTTTAGGATTAAGGTTTAGGCTTTAGGATTAAGGTTTAAGGTTTAGGATTAAGGTTTAGGTAGGGTATAGGATGCGGAAGGAAAGGTTCCACAGTCAGGGTGTAAGGAGCTAGATGTCTATGTGCATGCTGAGTTTGTTCTGGCTTTGTATCCTGAGCTTTGTTCTGTCCATCAGCTTACGTAGCAGAGATGTGAAGTAGTGCCGGGCCTTCCCGTAGGCTAGGGCCCCTTAAACCCTAAACGCCCAGTGCTCAACTGGTGGAGAATACTCCAGGCGGGCCGGGATGCTTGCGAGCCGGTGGCAAAAGAGGTGTAAGGATGGGGATCCAGGATGGACTTTGAGGACTACAAGAGGGTGGAGGGTTTTTTGGGTGGAATGCTATACATATGTTCGGACACATATGGGCATGTCTGTATATGGATATCATACATATACATGAACACACACGCGCACACACACACACATATATAAATATAACTATATATATATCCATCTATCTATTTGGTACGGCTTTTGAGGATTAGAGCTATGACCTCTTTACACAGATGGGCTTTGGGTCAAGGCGAAGACCGAATCCCACGGCGTCTATATGCCTGTCAGTGCTCTGGGACGCAATCAGAGCTGGGGATTCAACCTCGAACAAATTAGGGTTTAGGGGTTTATGGGTTTAGGGCTTAGGGGTTTAGGGCTTAGGGTTTTGGCAACCCATAAGCCCTGAACCCCAAATAGCGTCCTTAAAGGAGAGTACTCTATAAAATGCTCTTTTCGGAGATCCACATATTTGGGGAGAAGGGTGCTCATCCCAAAGAGCAAGGAATCTGCACATGCTTCAAGTTGAGTTGCCATTCAGAAGGGGCAGTTTAGGGTTTTTGGGGTTTAGCCCAGACCCCTGATTAATAAACCCTTCCCCTTGATAGGGATTATAGTAGGGGTCCTAATATTTCGGCCCTTACGTGGAGGAGGGTTTATTAATCATGGGTCTACATTGGGGTCTAGGGCTTTGTGTCAAGTCAACAGATATGCCCAACCAGGATCACATTCCTAACCCGTCCATGCAAGTCTAGCTTCAAAGCTTTGCCCTTGCCGGAGTTGAGCCGCAGATGGAAAACCCTCCCCGGAACTCATGCGGAACCCCAAATTGGACCGTCTCAAAAAAAAACCCTTAAACGCAAAACCCTCATGCCTAATCCCTTGACATGAAGTTCTAAACCCCAAATTCTGAACCCCAATCCCTAAACCCTAAAATCAGGAGCATTCTTATCAGCAGAGGACCCTCAGCTTATCAGGAAGTGGTGAGTTCTTATTCTGATGCAGGTACTTCTATCAGTTGCAGCCACTTTTCAATCCCAAAAGCTTGCTTGGAGGTTTATAGGTAGTGCTAAGGGTGGTTATCAGTTCCCAGATCAGGCTACGACCTAAAATGAGGCCTGACTACCGTTACCCGACTTGTACCCGCTTGTACCACCAACGAACTACCTCTGATCCTCCAAGCAGCCAACTTCTCTAAATCCTTACCACTAAAACCTAACACCCTAAAGCCCCAAAGCCTAAACCCATAGAACCTAAAACCTTACCCTAAGGGTCCAAAGGACCCAAATAATAGGGCTTTAAAGCCCAAATACCATTAATAGTATAGTATTTGGGCCCTAAAACCCTCTTATTTGGGTCCTTGGACCCTAAACCCTAAACCCTAAATAAACCCTAAACCCTAAACCCTAAACCAAACAGCAACTCTGCGAAAAAAAACATCCCAGGCATGACGGCCTTCTTCGGCACTTCCTACAGGCGGATCTTGCAAAAAGACGACCAGCGGCACATGAGCTAGGGTTTAAACTCCTTAAAGGGGGGTTATATAGGGGATATATTGGGATAATGGAAAAGAAAATGGAAACTACTATTTGAGGTTTAGGATTTAGGGTTTATACCCCCTATAATGGAGAATCAAATGGAAAAAGAAAATGGAAAATGAAATGGAAACTGGGATTCTGTAGGGGGTTATAGGGATTATGAGCTATAGTCTAAACTCCTTAAAGGGGGTTTATATAGGGGATATATTGGGATAATGGAAAAGAAAATGGAAACAACTATTTGAGGTTTAGGATTTAGGATTTAGGGTTTAGGGTTTAAACTCCTTAAAGGGGGTTCTATAAGGGACTATATAGGGGATTACTATAGGGGTTCTTAAGGGGGATACTAGGAGTTTAGACTATAGCTCACATGAGCTAGGGTTTAGGAAGTCTAGGTTTAGACTTTGGGGTCTAAACTCCTTTAAGGGGCTTGCATAAGGGATATTGTAGGGGAGTATTTTATAGGGGTTGCAAAGAAGATGCTAGGAGTTTAGCCTAGAACTCACATGTCAAGTTCAAGCTGCAGGGTTCCGTGTTTCAAAGATGTGAAGCTGTGCCTAAACCCTAAACCCCGGTCGTGCGGACGGCTAGACCTCGCCTGTCCATTCTGGACTTTACCAGCAGAATGCGGGTAAAAAAGGCGCTTAAGTTGTACCCTATACCCTACCTAGACCCTCCAATGTAGTACCTTTTCGGTAGTCCTAATAAGAGTCCTAACCAAAAAACCCTAACGAACCCAAAAAGGAACTACATGGGAGGGTCCAGGTAAGCCCTATGCTCAGTCGGCTTTGGAGAGTACTTGGATCTGGTACTTCAGTGCCCTGATGCAGGAAAGGTTCGCATACCCTTAAATCCTAAACTGTAGCGATGAGCGGTTTAGGGTTTAGGCTTGTTTAGGGTTTAGGGTTGGACATTGTATGCGGACAATGGAAAAGGATATGGATGCTCTGAATTTCCAGGTTCTTTTCCATTTCCATTACGTCACCAAACTCCTTTGCGTATTGTTCGCGTACCTCCCAAAGACCCGTGATGATAGCCCTTAACCCCACAACCCCCCCCAGAAAATAGGTATATAGGCTTTGAGAGGTCTGTAGTTACTCAGCATCAGGGAATCCTATAGTATTCCGAAGGCAGGTATAGGAGCAAATGCTCGGATGTGACTAGGGCTCAGGGGGTTTTGGCTTCATATCTTTTTTGTTCATAATGCTGGGAGTTGAGATTTGAGCGTGTGGGGGTAGAGGGTTCTGCGTTTTGGGATTTAGAGTTTTGAGTTCAGTGTTTTTATGTCAGAAAATCCTTTCCTCAAGAAGTTGTTTTGCCATGTGCCTACTTGGTTAAGTAGCTTAACAGCCTGGCTGATTAGGATGATTAGGATTATTCCTTTTCTAGACCTTTCACAAAAATATGAAACTCCATCCTAAGACCCCTTCCAGTCATTTAGCCCCCCCAGGCCTCACTGAAATAGCCTGAATCCCTGCACGCATGCAAGTTTTCCAAGTTTCTCAAAGCCAGCCCAACAGAATCCTGTCGAACCCAAATTCATTTCCTTACAGCCCCCCAGCCTCTCCCTGAGGACCCAGTCTACCTTCCCTAAATTCGCCCGCATATATCTCAAGGGATGGTCTCTTGGGGATTGGTGAGACCCTAAACCCGAAACCTTACACCCCAGCCCTAAACCCTAAACTCTAGACCTTAAACCCGGGCCCCTAACCCCTAAAGACCCTGAAGTCCACTCCACTGCCAAGGCCAAGGAGCCTCATTTTGATCACTGCTACTTCGTGGACGAAAAGCAGATCCTGGACGCCGCAGATAATGCTACGCGGCTCAGTTTTCTGGGTTGCTGTTAAGGAACTCAAATTAGGTTACCATAATCTGTATATATAGTAAACAATACAGTAGCTTAAATTATGTTCCTTAACAGCAATTCAGCTTTTTTTTGGAGGGGGGGGACGGGCGGGCTGTGTTGTCAGGCTTTACCCTAGGGATCTAAGTATACGAAGAATTCCCAGATTGGGCTTTAAATCTTCAAGATATGACCTACATTGGGCTATTTGTCTGGATCCCTACGGCTAGGGTTTGGAGATTTGGTTTGCGTAGAAGTTTCCGGTTCTTGTGGCCACGCTCTGTACCCCGAAACTACTAAAGTCCGTACAGTAAATATAGAGAGCCAAAATGCCATCCTCAGTTTCGTGAGCTCTGATGAACCCCTGAAGTCTCAAAAATTGAGGAGGATAACCTCCACGGCGGCTGGGGCCAAATGAGGTCCCAAAAGCTGCTACTGGTCCAAGCATCCCTAGAAGCCCAAGTGACGAGAAAGCAGGCTTCTGAGGGTATATGTAGTAACTAGAAGTCTATTCAAGCACGAAGAACAGTAGCTCAACACCCCAGCTACAAACTAATACGGGTGATTTGAGGATGGGTTGGTGGAGTGCAGTAAAGAATACGGCTTGACACCTTTGACCGTGGCAGGATGGCCCAAGCCCCGGAAAGCCAAATTCGACGGTCTACGCTGTAAAGCCCAAGCTGTTGTCGTCGGGGTTTAGGGTTTAGCGCATAGATTCTAGCCCAAAGGGTCCATGGACTCAAGAATTAGGTACTTGGGTTTTGGGTAGCTGTAATTTTGTTACAGGTTTTGGGCAAGGATATTATTATGAAGTACTTGGACCCTGAGGGTAAACCCTGAACCCTAAATCCTAAACCTAAACCTATAGTCCCCGTTAAGTAGATAGAATATGGGGTATATGAGGATCTTCTTAGAATATACCCAAAGCCATAGTATACCTACTTAAGGGGGACTATACCTTTCGAGCTAAACCCTAAACCCTAAACCCTAAACCCTAAACTGACAGGCTCCTTGGCACCACGGCGAAGATGTTCTCTTTGTGGGCTGCATCACCGGTATGGTGCCTTGGCTGGGAATGTAAAGGATCCCTGACCCTAAGTTTAGGGTTTAGGGGTAAAGTCCAGACCGTAAAGGCGGGTTCTAATTGCTAAAGTCCCCCTGAGCAAGTAAGGGAACTGAATAGTCTGGGGAGCCTCAACTAAATTTCAGCAAACTTGTTTGGGGGTGGGTCTCGGGCCCTGTAAATTAGCTTTGCATTGCCAGGGGTCAATTCCGGTTCTGAATTTGGCGAAAAGTTCGCTCTATTCCGCACCGATTTCATTAATCTGTTCAGCGGAATCTTCCCTCTATTACGAACCCATTTACTAATCCGAAGCTAACATTAAACCCTAAACCCTAGGATTTAGGGACCTTCAAATTTAGGGCCTTCACAGGTCAGACCGTAAACCCTAAAGCCTATGTGGGTTATCAAGGGAATACTAGGAGCTTAGACAATGGCTCATATGTAGGGGTTGGGGTCCTAAACCCTAAACCGTCTGGTTTCTTGGATGCAGGTTTAGATGACTATAGAGATGAGATCTGCAGAGGGAGCCCAGTCATTGTTGCCGAGTTGGTCTCAGTATGGGTGGCTTCCTATTTACAAACAGGTGTACTTCTGTTTTTTTGAATTTGGGGGATCCTTAGAATTATCAGGATTACGTATAGTATTTCGTGGTCTAAATTGGGGAACTAATATACATATATATATATATA